AAAGGTACACGTATAGCGTACAAGCCACTGCGACGTTTTTTTCAAAGTAACGCTTCGTTTTATTTTTCTAAAATGTACACTATTTCAACGTAAGTAGGAATTTTACAATATATTGGTTTAGGGCAATGTTAAGTATATTACCTGACGTTGAATCAGCGTATTTACTCCCATTTTCGCTGAAAAACAAGATGAAAAGCCTTCCCAATAGATACTAACTTCGGAGATCCGCCATGTTGGATATCTCGAAGATCACATCAAATCACGTGGCTAGCGAGACTCGCAAATTCTCGAATCAATTGGCGACGGCTGGTGGCGCCGTCGTAAACATTTGGTTGCTGTTTTGTCGAGTAACATTTGATCAAGACGAGAGAGTCATTTTTTGTTATTGTAATATTTGGATATTTCTGTCACGATAATGAACTTCTGAAGGACATTGCCATTTTCTGTGACAGTAGCTCAAGAAGGTATGATATTATTTGATTTATGAAATATGGGCAGTAGTAGAATCCCGGTGTAGAATCAGATTTTCATCACCGTCTCATTGAAATTTGTATTGTGGATTTCACGTGTCCAAGGCAACTGTACGTATTTTGTTCAATTGCAGAATCTATGTTTTCTTGATGTCGCCTAGAAGCAATTGTCTCGTTATCCTAACCATGTCTGTATGTCACAGTTTGTGTGTGATTGTAGTGGTGAATGAATAAGTAGGCAACCCTTGTCATGCATTTACCCAGTGTGCATTACAGGCTCGCGATATCAATGTCAGTATAGTATTAGTAAATAAATTTATTTCGATAATGTAGGTCTCGGTTCACTGTACAATCAACACTTTGCTAAAAACGACATAAAAGAAATATTTCTTATTATATTTTTAAAAAGAAACATTATATCTCTGAATTTTAAAGCAGGAGGGTCGTCACCTGCGCATGTGCGGCAATAACAATACATGCTAAAAACGTAAATGGCCATCTGACACATATGCAGATGACGACTCCCTTGCTTTAAGTATGTGTCATCAATATTGCCTACATTAGTTTTCATTAAGTTCTCAGAGTCACATACACACAACATTTGTTGTTTACATTTAAAATCTTAACCTGTCGGCAAAGAAAAACTATGTTTGTTTGGTCCAAAATTGACAAACAAATTATAGATTAATTCATAAAAAGATGCAAAACATTTTGACAGAAAAATCATGACATTCAAAGAATTAGAACAGTTGCATAAGTAGAAAGTTCTGTGCTCTACAAATGTACTTAAAGTGGGGAGTCGTCACCTGCACATGTGTCAGATGGCCATAGCGTTGCATTGTTTACAAACTAGCGTCCACTCATGAGCCTTTGCATTTTTAGCGTGTGTTGTTATCGTCGATTGGGATTAAATTCCCGCGCAGACGCAGGTGGCAACCCTCTCGCTTCAAACAAAATTTAATACCTTGCACATTTATTTGAGATGCATGTATGCTTCTAATGGAGTAAATACAATAGACATATCTAGTAAAATTTCTTCATTTGTGTTGCAGATGTAGCTTCACATATGGATGTATGTAGGTGAGGTTCCAACATGGCGGCGGTAACTCCCGCCCCTGACTGGGACAATGCTATTTTTCTTGGAAACATCAATAGAGAGTTGGAACCCCTTGATGTGCAAGACCAAGTTCTTCAGCTACTGCTGTTCTTTGGTGTTAGTCTTAGCAATGATAGTCTTCAAGTTAAGTATTCAAAGAACAGTGCAGCTTACATTGCATTTGTAAACCTTAGCAGCAGTGATGAGCAGAAATACGTTTATGAGAATCTATCAAAAGATTCGGGGAGACTTGTTGTCGATACTTTGGTGCAAGATGGGCGTAATCTCAAAGTTGATTACTATAGAAAGCTTAATGAGACATTGCCCTCCAGTGCTGTTATAGAGGAACATGTAAGTATCGTTCGTCCCAGCACCGCTCCCTCATCTTCTACAGCAACTACCCTTAGTCAGGGTCAAGGCCAGCTTTTTGCTCAAGAGGAAGATCAACTTGAAGTGCACGGCCATAGTTACCAGTTTCAAGAAAGAAGGTCTGTTACCAGACACTCATTGGTCGCAGAGTCGGTCAGAAATGATGAACTTGGTAATTATAGCATGCAGCATGACCAGATTAGAGTGACACCAATACCACTCAGAGATGATTATGGCCCTCGTCCTCATCCTGAAAGTCAAAATGGTAATCAAGAGCAAGCTGAAGCAATAGTCTCAAGAGATATTGCTACTTCAGAGAATTCTGACAGGACTGGTGCAAACGGTTTTAGGAATGCCCCACCTCCAGACTCAAGTATTGTTGAACCATGCGTGTCTGCACGAACATTTAAAAAGAGGAGACGAAAACGAAGAAACAGAAGTAGAAATAGGCAATTACCGACATCGGATTCTGACACAGACGATGATCGTGTTAGTACAGGAACTTTTACGGTTGAGGATCAACAAATATCTCTCAACAATACATATACACTGGACGACAACGAGGCAGTGTTAGCTACAACCAGTGCAGATAGAAGAAACAACTCAAGACCACCTAGTCGACTCCCACAATTGAAAAACCGACCTCTTAAAACTACTGAACAGCTTGGAAGGCTGAAGAAACTGGGACCCACTACAGAAGCAAGTGCAAAGCCACATCAAAGTGTGGGCATAATCCCGAAGACCGCTCCACATATTCTTTCGAAGCCAATACAGTCACCACCAAAGCCATCGCAGTCACCACCAAAGCCATCGCAGTCACCTCCAAAACAGGCACAGTTACCACAGAAACGGTCACAGTCACCACAGAAACGATCTCAGTCACCACCAAAACAGCTAACATCCAAATCAAAAACCACTGAGGGTCTATCATACTCATTGGGCCAGAAATTAGGAAATGAAAATAGACATTTAGAGTTTAAAACTGGCGGTGGCGAGTACTTGCGAAAAATTTTAAAAGAACATATCAGTAAATACGTGTGTGGGTTTCTTAATAGTGAAGGTGGTTCCTTGCTAATTGGAGTTGGAGATGATGGTGAGTTTATGTTAAGATTTCAATAATTCTCAATATAATACATTATACACCAAAACAATCGAATTAAGCTGTTCGTAAAAATCTGTATGAATGTTTTACAGATGTGTTATAAACATCTATCTTATTTCAAGCTGGTGTCTTTCACTGAACTGTGACTACATGTATGCAAGTATGAAACAATTTACTAGAATACCACATTTGGGAACATATCGTTTTCCACTATGTGTCAGTCGATCACTGTTTTGTGCATACTTTATGTGCATAACTCTTAATAACCTCACAGTCTTTATAAATGATAGTGTAAGATTATTTCCCAATATCACTTACATCATCATCTACTTTTACCTTTGGTTTTGCTGATAACTCACCCCATGGTGCTACAATGTCTGAATGTCAATCAACAAGTGAAACCAAGAAATAATAAATACATTTACATTACCAAGTCTAATTTCAAGGAAGAAATTGTAAATTTCTTGAACTGGACATTTATATTCGAGATTGGACCCTTCTTATTTCTGGTTGAGAGAGTTTGGGGCAATCATCAACTGTTTACAAAATGTCACATAAATAATTTCAACAGGTACTGTACATGGGGTGCATTGTGATCAGATGAAAGAAGACCGAGTCAGACGAGATGTGGATTTTGTTATCAAGATGTTCAAACCCCATATTTTCCCTGAATTGTACTCTATTAATTTTATTCCTGTTAGAAATCAACGATTGGGTAAGTTTGAAACCCATAATTATTAATAGAGAAGTTGTTGTTGCTAGTAGTATACCAAATACCCCTGCCTTTAGCTCTGGCATCATCAATGTTATGGTCATGATCACCATCCCTTGGCCAGGCAACAAATCATGATATTGCCCTCACAAACATGTGTTATTATATCATCAGGAGCTAAAAGTTCTAAAAATAAAGCTGATTCAACTATCACACTGCTACTGGCCACACTAAAAAAAAACAATATTTTTTCGGATGTTCCTCTGGTAGGACATGAACAGGAAGCTAAAGTTGGTTTATAACTAAAACTGGCGCCCCATATATGCAGTTCGGAAAGAACATTTAGTCTTCAGAAGTCACTTGACTTTATTACTAGCACAAATTTTTCTGTTATATTATATTCACATAAGTTGACCCTTTGACCTAGATCTTGATAAGATAACTAACATTTTTTTCCACAATATTCTGTTTGCATTGAATATATTTTCATTCTTTTTTCCTACCATGACATGGTTACTAAATTTTAGTTACAGTGATGTCCATCCCTGGTATGTTGTGTTTGGTTTTCTATAATAATTATCCACAGGCCACGTCTATTATATTACATTGATCAACCTACCTCTGGCACTCTGTCAACAGTTGTATTACGTTCCACATAATTTTTCTCTGAAATTTTCATGCTGCTGTCGTAATTTAGCAAGTTCCAAATACTTATCTACAGACTATCGGCTCCAATGTAACACAGCTAAATTTGTTCTCATCTCGTAGTGCATAGAATGAAATGCGATTTGCTTGTTGTGAGAAATGTTTAGAGTGTTTTTGAAACTTTCAACTTGACTTGTATCCAATGCATAGACGTAATTTGTGGCATACAATGCATTTATTAACTACTGAAAAATCTGTATTAGAAGCCGCAGCTTCTATTAAAATGGTACAATGCAACAGATGGGATGTGGCTTCTATTAAAGCATCTACACATATGAGAAATGGTGTCTGGTTGTTTAAAAAGAATGGATGCGGCTTCTATTAGGGATGCAGCTTCTAATACAGATTTTACAGTACTACATGCATATTGAGTAAATTCTCTACTACACAGCTCATGATAACTAGTTTGTCTGGTTCATTGTACCAAATATTCCACCCCTGGGTTTTAGTTTGACATATTACAAATATTGCGTGTGTGACTGCTTTCTAGAGTCTTTAATTGTACGCAGCATTTACAGTCCATTCAATGTTGCATTTGAATATTTGCTATTACCACCAAGATCTGCACCTGCAGCTGCTCCAATGTATGCATTGATACATTGTAACAATGTCTGTGCCATTGGTCTCTTGTTGGTGATCATTTGAACACTGCTATTGCAGCAACATCTGAATATACATGTATGATATGATTGAATACAATGCTAACCATTTCGAACAGAAAATAATACAACCTAGTTAT